TAAATAAAATATTACAATTGTGAAAAAAATAAAAATTGAAATTTCGCGTGCAGTGCGTTAATTCGCGTGAGGGATATTATTTAATTAACATCAAATTTTAGAATTGACCCTTCTTGAGCGTCCCTAAATAAAAATATTACAGTTATCATAAAAGTATCGCGATTCTACATACGAGTGCGCGTTATGCACCTGCGAAGTACTCTCTCTCTCTCTCTCTCTCTCTCTTTCTCTTTCTCTTTCTCTGCGCAGTATAATACATATAATATTCCAGCGGGCAATAGGCCATGAAACTTATACAGTCAAACCTTAATACCGAGAGAATTTTCCTGGAGGTTTCAGTTCCGGGCGCCAACCAAGGAAACACTAATTATTTCGCAATCTCGGCACTCACCCCATTTCGCAGATGGTGTTGCATTAAGAAAATTAATTTTTTACAGCCGGCCCCGTTAAAGGGGATGTGCTCCGCGTCCCCCGCTCCAGCCCTAGCCGGAATTGATCCCCCGGAAGAAATGATAGCAATCGGATGTAAACTGAAGATTATGCCATTAAGAAAATTAATAAATAAAAACGAAATCATACATATACATGCACTCGCGCGACCATTAAGAAAATTAATTTTTCTGCGATTTGTAGAGCTCTCGCGTAAAAGTCTGTGCATTCGCTCGATCTAGTCGCATACATAAAGTTTTCTGCTGCAATTCATCAATCGCATCTTTCTCTATTTAATCCTCAATATTATTATTTCTCCAGCGGAAAAGTTGTCGCATCTTATCTTTCTTATCTTATCTTTCTTTTTGCCCTTTATCGGACTCGGACGCATCGCGATCTTCCTACGTCCATTTCGTAGCATTACTACGTATCATAATTGAATCCACGGACCAAGTCCCAAGTAACGTCGTTAAGGGGAGGATCTTTCCGCATCGTTACGTAAGAAACGACGGACGAACACAATACGATCGAAGCCGAGAAGATCCCTATTCTTTGGATGATTCGCTCGTCGAGATATGTGTGGTTCTGGTAGGGTAAATTCGAATGATACAGGAGAAGGCGGGAAGGTGTCCGCGGTTACGAATTTGTCAGGACTCGCTGGTGAGACGTGTCTGTCGGTATCTCAGAGAGATATTATTCGCGATAGTAGAGCGAGATGGAAGTGTCCCGCCGGTCTGCGCGAAAATGGGTACTTGGACAGTTGGACAGTTCGTGGTCGCCCAGAAGACGGGCGTCGTCGTTGTCGTCGTCGAGATCTTCGTGAGGGGCGCGCAGGGTTCGGTGGACAGAAGGTGGAAAGAGAAGAGCAAGGGGGAGAATCGGGGGCGGTAGAGGCTGCTGCTTCTCGTGAGTCACCCTATTCTTGTCACCCTGAGTTTCTTGACGGCAGGATGACGTCTCTATCGAGTTACGGCTTTGTTTTTGGGTCGGCCGACTCTATCGGCACTATCGGCGGAAGGGAGAAGTTTGGGGACTTTCTTCTGAACGATCTCCCATGTCCCCGTATTTCGCACAAGAACGATCTTGGCTGGTATATCCGTTATGTTAACGATTGCGAACTCTTATCTCAACAATCTTGAATATGTTCGAACTGTACGTATTATTTCGGAATGAGTTTAACTTTGGCGACATTTGAGGAAAAGAAACAAGATTATTTTCAAAGATTGACTAAAGTATTAAGATTTTTAAGTGAATAAAAATTATAACTGAGAGATCTGGAGATAAAATATGACATAGAAATAAAGAAAGAAAAATTATTATTGTATCTTTGATGTTCCATTTCTTAGATTTATCCTTGACAATGATTTAGCTTTGTACAGACGGGTCATACCACAAGGCTATCCATATCTCACGAATGAACATTCGATAGCACTGAATATCTATGCTACACGATCACACGACTTGGTGCCGCATCTGTAATTTACGCCGCACGTGCGTATATATCGTGTTGGAAGTTCACGCCGATGTAGCTATCATCATGACTATTCTATCGCATAGCGAGAAATTCTTTCAAGTTTAAGGAGCGAGGGAGGTTGGAACTCGTAGTAACCAATAACGAGGAAGAAAGCTTTCTTTATCTAGGTTGCAAAATCAAATTGCTACCCTACGCCGCTGTGAGCTTCCCTCGCTCTTCCCCTTTTTCACCTCGCAATCCCATTTTCCCTTTTCTCTCTCTATCGTTCTTTATCTTTCTCTTTCTCTCTCTTTCTCTCGCGCGAATTCTCACACCTTTCTACAGCCACTCACCGAGTCGAGTTTGTGAAAGCATTACGTTCGAGCACCCGACCGCTATTCAAACCCCACACCGAAGTTAAGAACTCGCTGATGAGGTAAATCAAACGTTCCCCGAGAAAACAATTCTTTCGGCATTCTAATGAGCTTTCATTTAAAAATTTCCCGTCCTGCGAGAAATTTTGATCGAAAGTCTCGAGAAACAGAATTCGCGAATATATTGGACGAAGGGTATAAAAATAATTTCGCATAAAATACTGTCTTATTCAGAAATATGACGTACATTTTGCGCAAAGGAAAAATCTTAAACCGAAAGGTTCGCTTAAAGCAGAGCAAAAACGTTCCTTTGAGTACACCGTTCGAAAACGAAAGATTTTATATGTACGTGGAAACAATAGTTTGACCCACTTTCCTAAAAATTTAAAGAAACTTAAAAAAACTTAAAAAATAAATCCTAAACTTGTTAAATTAACTTAAAGTTATTGCTGAAATCGGATTTAGATTTGCTTTTACCGTTCGTTTGAAAAGCGAGTTGAAAGCCATTGTTGCATTGAATTCCATAATCACTTTACGAATTTGTGTTTGCACGTATTTCGTATACAATGTAATCGAATTTTGCCCGAGATCTAAACTTTTCGATCGAAAATTTTAGTCGAAATCTCGTATATCGAAATTTACTGCATACGTATTTCAGAAACGTATAATTTCTGACATCACCGGAGAGCTTCTTCCCGCATCTTCACAACGCTATCAAGAGAGAAGCGTGCTTTGTTCCGCCCATGCAGCACAGGAGTCGAGGAGACCAAGTTTTGCAGTAAGAACATCCAGCGAGAATTGTCGTCAACTTCCTCAACAGTTTGCAAGTAGCTGGCAAACATCGGCGTGGATACGTCGACTCGCGCATACTTTACGAGCATTTCTTTTCACTGCCTGGGAATCGTAAGCGCTATGCATTCACTGAATAATACGTTAGATGACGTCATGCACAGCAAGTTTAGTTTTTTCTGTGAAAGAGTACACACACTAGAGAGAAAAGGTGAGAGAGATTTTGTATAAATTTATAGAAATACTAGCAGCTGTGAGCAACAGATAATGCGATTTTGCAGTGGATATTAAACGCTTACGTGTAAGATGAAAACTGGTTGCATATTAATCAACCATCAATTTACAAGGAAACTTTCCGTAAACGCAGCAAATTAACGAGGACTAATATTTTACATAAATATGTAGTAAGCAATTAAAATAAATATTAAAATAAGTATGCTTTGTTTTAATTAAGAATATGCAACTGAATATCTTCTTTTCTTAAAGTTTTACAACTTGTAAATATTTTCTTTTACAGCTAGAATTGTTCGGGATGTTTTCAACTGTTACGTTTCAAACGTCTTATCCGGCAGAAGAGGATGTCTATATCTATATGTATAGGAAAACTGCGTTTCTCAGCATCCGCGAGAGAGCAGACTGACGGGTGACTCGGCTGATTCGAGTAAGGATGCAGGCAGGCAGACAGAGTAGGAGAAGGAAGACCCGGGAAGTAACTTAAACAGCGGCTAAAACAAGAAGTAGCAAGTCATAATTGAGTCGGGCAAGTATGGCGGGGTCTATGTTGGTAGGTGGAAAGCGCCGCTGCCGACATACCTGACCGGAATTCGAAAACAGGAGGGGGGTAGCTCTCCGGTCTCCGAGTCTCAAGATGGTTTCCGTTAGTTCGCCGTCCATCGAATGGAATCCAGATGTTTCTCGGCATATTAATGCTGCACGCGCAAATACAGGAGCTTAACTTTGTGGCGAAAGAGATGAACGTAATTGAACTTTGGGCAATCTGAAACTTGAAAAAAGAACTATTATAGATTTTCAGGATTAATTATTCAGGAGCGTTTCAATGCGCTTTTTATTATAAATTTAAAAAATTGTATACATTAGCATTTTTTAAATATTTTAATTAAAGATGCTCTAATTTTAGAACATTCATATCTATCTATCAGATTTTTATAATCAAATTCAGAGGCGTTTCAATACGCTTTTTATTATAAATTTCTAAAATTATATTATACATTTGTATTCTCTTATTTTTATAATTGAAGATGCTCCAATTATAATATTTACATCTATTTATCAGAATTTCTATATTTAAATCTTGTGATCAGATTTCCTTGTCATACTTGATAAACCTATCTCTATTTCTATATTCAATTATTTAATTATTTAATTCTACGATTTATCTGCTGCTTCGCGTTCACCAAGAGCGAATAGGATCGGCGAGTCACGAGATTCTCCCGTGAGGAGAGGCTTGCGGTCAAAAGGACACGCTCCTGCGAGCGTTGGATCCCTAGATCGCTCGACAGACGGCGCTCGTGTAGCATCCAGAATCGCCCGATTGCTGGAATTATCTGGCGGACGAGGTCAATGCCAATGACATTGACGGACGAGAACCGGCCAGGATCCGATCTATATAACGGGCGCAGGACGAGATCGATGCGAGAGAATGTCGCAGGGCAACTTACTGCAGGGCTACAATTGTGAGTAAAAATTACCGTCGACGAGCCGCGAATGATGATCCGCGAGCAGGAGCGATCGCACGCGTTGCGCCGTGAAAAGTGAGCTCTGATAATGGCGGCTTTCGTTTATTTAACGCCGAGACAAAAAAAGCCGAAATCCGAGAGCAGCGAGTCGCGATGCATTGTGACACCTCGGGAGGATCGGTCATCGTGCGTCTCGATCTGTAGACCAGATAGATCCGGTGAATAAAAATATCAACGCGCCGTTTGTCTCTGTAAATGTATTGTGCATCGTACATTATGCGAGTATGACTCCTGGCTTTTCGGAGTCGTCGGTGCTACCAGCATCAACCTTTACAGTACGCTTTTTAACATTGTAACCGTAGTATTTTTTATTCGCGTACGTGGCTATGCTTAATAATTAGGAGGAAAAAAAAATACATATATATATATGTATATACATACATACATCTTTCATGTTAAAGTAAATTACTCCGAAATAGAAAAAAAATATATAACAGTAATATATAAATTAAGATATACAATTAATAAATAGATTATACATTTGATTAAGAAAATTTTAGGATTATATTATTAGAGCTATTACATTAATTAACTATAAATATTTAAATAGATCTCTAGATATTTTGATAATTCTCTTTCTCTCTGTGATATTATATTTGTGATTATTTTATAAAACGATACGATATATATATCATCATAAACGATACGATGCGTAAATCGAAATTACGCAACGCTACGCTCGTGTTATCTCGTCGCGAGATGCTAACCGTTGATTAGCCGGTTGCGTTACTAAAACAATGGTACCTCCCCCTCAAGGAGTTTAGATCAGTGGAAAGTTTTCGATCAACTTTCACAAACAATAATATATCGCACAGATATTTCTTTCCAAGCAAATAAATATCCTATGGGCATTGAGATAAAGTTCGTAATATTTTTACCTTATCAAAACGTAAATTTGATTGATGAATCCATAATAATAATAAAAATAGAAAATTTAAAGAAAAGAATATTCCATCATCAAAAAGAAACAAACTGCATAGATTGTAAAATAATAAATGCATGTTCAAGAAGAGAGTAAATCTATGTTGCTGCAAAATAAAATATGTTTGTCAGGGACGATATATAATTCTTGGTATCTCTACGGCAAAGGACGCGTACCGTAGTATGTATATAATTAATTTTAAGATAAGACAACACACAATTTTTCCACAAACGACAATTGCTTTTCGACTTCGTAGGGGAAACTCAGTATGATGATCCGCAGGTGCAATTTCCTCGTCCTATTCCGGACGAAGTTATCAGGTGAGCTCACGATGTTCGCTCTAGCCAGCATAAACACGAATGCAAACCATTTTCTTCTTGTATAAATTTTATGTAATATCGTTCTTTTTATATCTAACAGGGATATAATATTAACACACACATGCAGTTTCTTTTGGATAAATTTTTATGCACATAAAAAGAAATGTTAATTATAAAGTTCGTTATAATCCTACGTGCGCGTTACGCCTTTGTTGCAATTCTCTTACTAATCCTCTTAATTTGTGAAACTCCAATGCGGCGACTTAGCGTTTACGAGGTTTACGTAAAGGAGGAGTCAGGCCCGGACTCGAGGAGCGGCGATACATCGGATGTGTCGGGATTAGGGTCCCTAGCCGATCAGCAATTAATCCAAGTAATTAATCGCTGCGAAAGTTTTATCAATGAGAACGATTTGCGATCATGTAAAATCACTTTCAAGGATGATTGCATGGACCTGGATGCAGCCATAGATTCCGAAGTGATCAATATCGACGGCAGCGTCACGAAACTCCTTGGCAAGGACGCGTTAAGGTACAAAGTAAGTGCCAAAGTGAGGTATCTTAAATATTTGTCGAACTATTAGCGCAGGGCAAGTTGTTTGCCGAGAGCGAGTGTATATCGTTACAGCAGTAGTTTACATGAAATATTTTATCTTATCTAGAGTTCACCCCCTTTCTTCTTACTTTGAAGAATTTCATTTGCATACGATTTTTATAGTTTTATGTACCAAGGATTTGCCTATCTACATCGCGATGTAGCATAATTATAGGAGTAAATGTGGAAGTATTGCTGTGGAAACTGCATTTTTGCGCGACATTCTTGCGTTGCGTTTTCTTCAAAATTACAACGAATATAGTTTTATGTGTGCAATTTAATCTTACATTTCATAATCATGATATTCTTTGTCGCGACTGATAAATATCCTCTGTTTTTTGTATCTCACTGATATTTCCATTAAAATCCCAATTTCCGATCTTTAGATTCTCGAGCAGAACGTTAACACGCCGGACGAGAATGTAGTTGTATATTCACATCCTGTTGCTGAAGGACCTTCGTCCACGACAACGCGACTTATCGATAAGGATGATCCGCGATCCAGACTGCATTTTGTAAAATATCTAAAACGCGACGGAAAAACGCTCAAAATCTGGGAATGCGGCATTTGTATGTAAATTTTCTCTAACGTAATATTTTTTAAATGTAATTAATGTATAGAATAATGATATTTTTTTATATGAAGAGAGTAATATATATATTCCATTTTTTCAATTATTATTAATTAATAATTATAAAAAGAAAAGAATTATATATTCGGGATGAGACTGAAATAAAAGTGTCAAGTTTAATATATTTTTTTCGGGAGAAATATCATTTTGAATTTTCATTTGATTTTGCAGTATAGCGAGTAATTACTTTTTAATGTTGCCATCGGGGGTCAGCTTGTTTTCGTTATAAGAAACTTTTATGTTTAATATTCAAACCAGGTTCAAAAGAGTTCCGTCACCAGTACACCCTGATGAGACACTTGCCGACCCACACCGACGAGAGAAACTTTAAATGCGAGGCTTGCGGCAAGGCTTTCCGCCAGTTGTCAACATTGAGTCAGCACAAGGCTATACACAGCGATGCTAGACCCTACGTATGCGAATTCTGCAAGAAAACGTTTAATAGGTCGGAAATTATCATTTTTAGATTTGAATTTCATATTTAGATGCATAAAACCTTACACAGCATATAAAAGTAATAAATATTTAATATTTATAAAATCGAATTGTATCGGCTAGTTGACATTTTGAAGTAATTTGAATTTCAGGGTGTCTACGTTAATCTCTCATCGAAAAACGCATTCGGAACACAAGCCACACAAGTGTCACGTATGTGGTAAAGGATTTCATCAAAAGGGTATATAACACATATTAATAGGGCGATGATTTGTCATTTCCAGCAGATCTAAATTCCTTCTGAAAAAATTTATAATTCTGTAAAATCTACACTATTCTATTTTTTCCGCTAGATTTATTAATACGTATCTCATCATTCCATTATGTTTTATTGCGGAAATTGAAACGCGTTCATCTGTCAACTTGAAAAATCCGGCAATTAACATTAGTCTTTTCAGGCAATCTGCGTAATCACGTATTCACGCATACGAACGAGCGGCCATACAAATGCGAGCTCTGCGGCAAAGGCTTCAATCAGATGTCAAATTTGGTCTGTCATAAGGTGAAAGCGCACGCACACGCCGACAAGATGCAATATTCATGCGGAGTCTGCGGAAAGGAGTTTCCGCGTAGATTCGCCTTACGATCGCACGAGGAGTACAAGCACGGTATAAAGTATCGAAGCACGAGCAACGCGCAATCTGCCGTGAACGAACCCAGTACCGCAAAAAGGTATGTAAAGAGACCGCATGATTTTAGCCGCGATGTATAATGCGTAACCAATGGTGCAATAAATGTTCAAACAATCTGAAAAATCGTTGAAATTCGTCAGTTACTTTATATAAATATTTGCAGAACACGAGAGGAATAAGGAATAAGATTTCTTATTTAATTAAAAATATCAATTCCTATAGATTATCGTTGATATTTTCATATTGGATAAGAGAGAAAATCCTGCAAAAATAGACAAATTAAAAGGAATTAGTTATAATTTTATAGGATAAATTTTTCTATTGATTTTTCTTTTTATTAATTTATTTCTCACACAGGCTAGAGAGACAATCGAAGCGCTTATATATATCCGATTATTATTTTACACAATACAGAGTTTATTTAATTATAGATATTTCAACGCGCGATATGTAATTATGCATTTTCAGCAAGAACGTTAGGATCATACAATTGTTCAATGGCGATCGAAATCAAACGAGCGAAAGCAAAGAGAAGGATTATTTTGGCTCAGTTAGTATATATTTGATTTGATAAATATAATGAGAGTATTATGGATTGTATAATTAGTTTTGGAATCCTGTTTTATGATAGTCGGACTTAATAGACAGCATTGTGATAGACAAAATCGAAACAAAAGCGATGGAGATTGCATTACTCCAAGGCCAGACTCCCTTTGCTCTTTATAGACCCATTAAGGGTATACCGGTACTTGTTAAAGTTTTACCCACTGCAAGTAATAAGCACGTAAGTATGTACATTTATGGACATTATTATTCTGACATATATAATTAACTTATCTTTTAATTGTCCTATAATTTTATCTATATTTTATATTCTTACCATTATTTTTAGCAAAAAATATATAGCTAAAATATGAAAATTAAGTAATTTAAAATCACAAGTAAAATATAAAATTTTTTTAATTAGATATAAATAAATTTAATAAATTTACATGTATAATCGTAAAATATAAAAATTTTGAAAAGTTATAATAACGTTAATTTAAAAGTTTTTATTACTCTCTCGTTAGAGTAGTTATTATTTTTATATACTAATACATTGATGAAAATCTCGACTTTTAGTTGACTTCGCAAGAGAAGTTTATTAAAAGTTATATATCCAATATTATACAGTAAGCAGAGAAATTCGATGTTTTACGGATGTATTTGTTTCGTTTATCTTGCTGTCAGTAATTCCGACAGCTTTCATAAACATGCTCGATTGCAACAGAATCTGAATCAATAATAATTTCAAAGCATATTAATTAATATTAATATTTAATAACATTTAATTATTTGAGAGAATTAGAGATATTGCTTAATAATTACGTATTGTTTATGTATAGATACTTACACCTGCGACTGCCGAAGATTTGCGAATGGCGGGGAAGATAACTTCAAATCCTACCGAGTCTTCAGACGCTGATGGCAACAAGGCTGTTCAGGTAAAAGTACCGGTAGTTGCCACAGTGATACAGAATATCGAAACTGATGGCAAATCCAGCTTCGTCATCGAGCCTCCCGGAGCAGAACAGGAGCAAGGTAAGCTCTTCTTGTCAATTCTATAAAACTAAATGTTTTCGTCGAAGCGTTTCTCTTTATCTTCGTATTGTTGCCAGATGATCTAGTGACAGCGTTAGACTCGCAATTCTCTCTCTCTGAGCTTCATCCCGACGAAGCGGTCCGTCAAAACAGTGCGAATTCAACTCCGTCAATGGACGAGTGTAACGAGTTGCTGGAGCTGGCTGCGCAAGGTGGAATACAATTCGTTCGCGCTACGGAGGACGGTCGTTACGAAGTAATATAGAAACGATTAGCGCATTTACGTATGAAACTATGTTAGTGCTTGCATAGCGTGTCTGATAATAGTCGCATTTGGTGAACAGGATGATTTTCCTTGTGAAGCTCGAAAAAAAATTCTTTTTCCTCCACAATCTATAATCTAATTATCTCTATGATGTATTTTTGCACAGCTTTTAAGAGTTATAAGATTATATATTTTGGTAAAAATGTATTTCAAATCCGACACTGGCTAGAATATAACTTGGTAAAACCGAGAAGACAATGATTGTTGATATTGCGGGAATTTAATGTAAGAAAACATAAATTCCATGATATAAAATGTCGTTCTTCGACATCTTTATCTCTGAAAAGGCGACATACTTTTCCACGCAAAACTGGCATTATAGTGTCGACGTCTTTTCGACCTACAGTATGTGCGACACATTCTGAGTATTCACGTCAGGCGCCTCCGTTCCTTTACATAGATTTCTCTATTTAGAGAACTGTGCAGTGCTGTCGCGCTTGCGAAACGTGTCGTATAACGTTTTTATAGAAATGGCTTTCGTGTTAGAAATTATTTTTGGCGCTTTTCTTCCAATTAGCTTCAAGAATTTGATTAAACTTAATATCTATTAATGAAATCCGAATATACTCCAAGAGTCATATATATATAAAGTGATAGTATTTTAATCAAGAAAGATACTTGTATATGATTTTAAGTAAAATGTAACTTCAGAGAAAGATACATTTTACTTAAAATCATATACAAGTATCTTTCTTGATTAAAATACTATCACTTTATATATATATGACTCTTGGAGTATATTCGGATTTCATTAATAGATATTAAGTTTAATCAAATTCTTGAAGCTAATTGGAAGAAAAGCGCCAAAAATAATTTCTAACACGAAAGCCATTTCTATAAAAACGTTATACGACACGTTTCGCAAGCGCGACAGCACTGCACAGTTCTCTAAATAGAGAAATCTATGTAAAGGAACGGAGGCGCCTGACGTGAATACTCAGAATGTGTCGCACATACTGTAGGTCGAAAAGACGTCGACACTATAATGCCAGTTTTGCGTGGAAAAGTATGTCGCCTTTTCAGAGATAAAGATGTCGAAGAACGACATTTTATATCATGGAATTTATGTTTTCTTACATTAAATTCCCGCAATATCAACAATCATTGTCTTCTCGGTTTTACCAAGTTATATTCTAGCCAGTGTCGGATTTGAAATACATTTTTACCAAAATATATAATCTTATAACTCTTAAAAGCTGTGCAAAAATACATCATAGAGATAATTAGATTATAGATTGTGGAGGAAAAAGAATTTTTTTTCGAGCTTCACAAGGAAAATCATCCTGTTCACCAAATGCGACTATTATCAGACACGCTATGCAAGCACTAACATAGTTTCATACGTAAATGCGCTAATCGTTTCTATATTACTTCGTAACGACCGTCCTCCGTAGCGCGAACGAATTGTATTCCACCTTGCGCAGCCAGCTCCAGCAACTCGTTACACTCGTCCATTGACGGAGTTGAATTCGCACTGTTTTGACGGACCGCTTCGTCGGGATGAAGCTCAGAGAGAGAGAATTGCGAGTCTAACGCTGTCACTAGATCATCTGGCAACAATACGAAGATAAAGAGAAACGCTTCGACGAAAACATTTAGTTTTATAGAATTGACAAGAAGAGCTTACCTTGCTCCTGTTCTGCTCCGGGAGGCTCGATGACGAAGCTGGATTTGCCATCAGTTTCGATATTCTGTATCACTGTGGCAACTACCGGTACTTTTACCTGAACAGCCTTGTTGCCATCAGCGTCTGAAGACTCGGTAGGATTTGAAGTTATCTTCCCCGCCATTCGCAAATCTTCGGCAGTCGCAGGTGTAAGTATCTATACATAAACAATACGTAATTATTAAGCAATATCTCTAATTCTCTCAAATAATTAAATGTTATTAAATATTAATATTAATTAATATGCTTTGAAATTATTATTGATTCAGATTCTGTTGCAATCGAGCATGTTTATGAAAGCTGTCGGAATTACTGACAGCAAGATAAACGAAACAAATACATCCGTAAAACATCGAATTTCTCTGCTTACTGTATAATATTGGATATATAACTTTTAATAAACTTCTCTTGCGAAGTCAACTAAAAGTCGAGATTTTCATCAATGTATTAGTATATAAAAATAATAACTACTCTAACGAGAGAGTAATAAAAACTTTTAAATTAACGTTATTATAACTTTTCAAAATTTTTATATTTTACGATTATACATGTAAATTTATTAAATTTATTTATATCTAATTAAAAAAATTTTATATTTTACTTGTGATTTTAAATTACTTAATTTTCATATTTTAGCTATATATTTTTTGCTAAAAATAATGGTAAGAATATAAAATATAGATAAAATTATAGGACAATTAAAAGATAAGCTAATTATATATGTCAGAATAATAATGTCCATAAATGTACATACTTACGTGCTTATTACTTGCAGTGGGTAAAACTTTAACAAGTACCGGTATACCCTTAATGGGTCTATAAAGAGCAAAGGGAGTCTGGCCTTGGAGTAATGCAATCTCCATCGCTTTTGTTTCGATTTTGTCTATCACAATGCTGTCTATTAAGTCCGACTATCATAAAACAGGATTCCAAAACTAATTATACAATCCATAATACTCTCATTATATTTATCAAATCAAATATATACTAACTGAGCCAAAATAATCCTTCTCTTTGCTTTCGCTCGTTTGATTTCGATCGCCATTGAACAATTGTATGATCCTAACGTTCTTGCTGAAAATGCATAATTACATATCGCGCGTTGAAATATCTATAATTAAATAAACTCTGTATTGTGTAAAATAATAATCGGATATATATAAGCGCTTCGATTGTCTCTCTAGCCTGTGTGAGAAATAAATTAATAAAAAGAAAAATCAATAGAAAAATTTATCCTATAAAATTATAACTAATTCCTTTTAATTTGTCTATTTTTGCAGGATTTTCTCTCTTATCCAATATGAAAATATCAACGATAATCTATAGGAATTGATATTTTTAATTAAATAAGAAATCTTATTCCTTATTCCTCTCGTGTTCTGCAAATATTTATATAAAGTAACTGACGAATTTCAACGATTTTTCAGATTGTTTGAACATTTATTGCACCATTGGTTACGCATTATACATCGCGGCTAAAATCATGCGGTCTCTTTACATACCTTTTTGCGGTACTGGGTTCGTTCACGGCAGATTGCGCGTTGCTCGTGCTTCGATACTTTATACCGTGCTTGTACTCCTCGTGCGATCGTAAGGCGAATCTACGCGGAAACTCCTTTCCGCAGACTCCGCATGAATATTGCATCTTGTCGGCGTGTGCGTGCGCTTTCACCTTATGACAGACCAAATTTGACATCTGATTGAAGCCTTTGCCGCAGAGCTCGCATTTGTATGGCCGCTCGTTCGTATGCGTGAATACGTGATTACGCAGATTGCCTGAAAAGACTAATGTTAATTGCCGGATTTTTCAAGTTGACAGATGAACGCGTTTCAATTTCCGCAATAAAACATAATGGAATGATGAGATACGTATTAATAAATCTAGCGGAAAAAATAGAATAGTGTAGATTTTACAGAATTATAAATTTTTTCAGAAGGAATTTAGATCTGCTGGAAATGACAAATCATCGCCCTATTAATATGTGTTATATACCCTTTTGATGAAATCCTTTACCACATACGTGACACTTGTGTGGCTTGTGTTCCGAATGCGTTTTTCGATGAGAGATTAACGTAGACACCCTGAAATTCAAATTACTTCAAAATGTCAACTAGCCGATACAATTCGATTTTATAAATATTAAATATTTATTACTTTTATATGCTGTGTAAGGTTTTATGCATCTAAATATGAAATTCAAATCTAAAAATGATAATTTCCGACCTATTAAACGTTTTCTTGCAGAATTCGCATACGTAGGGTCTAGCATCGCTGTGTATAGCCTTGTGCTGACTCAATGTTGACAACTGGCGGAAAGCCTTGCCGCAAGCCTCGCATTTAAAGTTTCTCTCGTCGGTGTGGGTCGGCAAGTGTCTCATCAGGGTGTACTGGTGACGGAACTCTTTTGAACCTGGTTTGAATATTAAACATAAAAGTTTCTTATAACGAAAACAAGCTGACCCCCGATGGCAACATTAAAAAGTAATTACTCGCTATACTGCAAAATCAAATGAAAATTCAAAATGATATTTCTCCCGAAAAAAATATATTAAACTTGACACTTTTATTTCAGTCTCATCCCGAATATATAATTCTTTTCTTTTTATAATTATTAATTAATAATAATTGAAAAAATGGAATATATATATTACTCTCTTCATATAAAAAAATATCATTATTCTATACATTAATTACATTTAAAAAATATTACGTTAGAGAAAATTTACATACAAATGCCGCATTCCCAGATTTTGAGCGTTTTTCCGTCGCGTTTTAGATATTTTACAAAATGCAGTCTGGATCGCGGATCATCCTTATCGATAAGTCGCGTTGTCGTGGACGAAGGTCCTTCAGCAACAGGATGTGAATATACAACTACATTCTCGTCCGGCGTGTTAACGTTCTGCTCGAGAATCTAAAGATCGGAAATTGGGATTTTAATGGAAATATCAGTGAGATACAAAAAACAGAGGATATTTATCAGTCGCGACAAAGAATATCATGATTATGAAATGTAAGATTAAATTGCACACATAAAACTATATTCGTTGTAATTTTGAAGAAAACGCAACGCAAGAATGTCGCGCAAAAATGCAGTTTCCACAGCAATACTTCCACATTTACTCCTATAATTATGCTACATCGCGATGTAGATAGGCAAATCCTTGGTGTCGTGTTATCTCGTCGCGAGATGCTAACCGTTGATTAGCCGGTTGCGTTACTAAAACAATGGTACCTCCCCCTCAAGGAGTTTAGATCAGTGGAAAGTTTTCGATCAACTTTCACAAACAATAATATATCGCACAGATATTTCTTTCCAAGCAAATAAATATCCTATGGGCATTGAGATAAAGTTCGTAATATTTTTACCTTATCAAAACGTAAATTTGATTGATGAATCCATAATAATAATAAAAATAGAAAATTTAAAGAAAAGAATATTCCATCATCAAAAAGAAACAAACTGCATAGATTGTAAAATAATAAATGCATGTTCAAGAAGAGAGTAAATCTATGTTGCTGCAAAATAAAATATGTTTGTCAGGGACGATATATAATTCTTGGTATCTCTACGGCAAAGGACGCGTACCGTAGTATGTATATAATTAATTTTAAGATAAGACAACACACAATTTTTCCACAAACGACAATTGCTTTTCGACTTCGTAGGGGAAACTCAGTATGATGATCCGCAGGTGCAATTTCCTCGTCCTATTCCGGACGAAGTTATCAGGTGAGCTCACGATGTTCGCTCTAGCCAGCATAAACACGAATGCAAACCATTTTCTTCTTGTATAAATTTTATGTAATATCGTTCTTTTTATATCTAACAGGGATATAATATTAACACACACATGCAGTTTCTTTTGGATAAATTTTTATGCACATAAAAAGAAATGTTAATTATAAAGTTCGTTATAATCCTACGTGCGCGTTACGCCTTTGTTGCAATTCTCTTACTAATCCTCTTAATTTGTGAAACTCCAATGCGGCGACTTAGCGTTTACGAGGTTTACGTAAAGGAGGAGTCAGGCCCGGACTCGAGGAGCGGCGATACATCGGATGTGTCGGGATTAGGGTCCCTAGCCGATCAGCAATTAATCCAAGTAATTAATCGCTGCGAAAGTTTTATCAATGAGAACGATTTGCGATCATGTAAAATCACTTTCAAGGATGATTGCATGGACCTGGATGCAGCCATAGATTCCGAAGTGATCAATATCGACGGCAGCGTCACGAAACTCCTTGGCAAGGACGCGTTAAGGTACAAAGTAAGTGCCAAAGTGAGGTATCTTAAATATTTGTCGAACTATTAGCGCAGGGCAAGTTGTTTGCCGAGAGCGAGTGTATATCGTTACAGCAGTAGTTTACATGAAATATTTTATCTTATCTAGAGTTCACCCCCTTTCTTCTTACTTTGAAGAATTTCATTTGCATACGATTTTTATAGTTTTATGTACCAAGGATTTGCCTATCTACATCGCGATGTAGCATAATTATAGGAGTAAATGTGGAAGTATTGCTGTGGAAACTGCATTTTTGCGCGACATTCTTGCGTTGCGTTTTCTTCAAAATTACAACGAATATAGTTTTATGTGTGCAATTTAATCTTACATTTCATAATCATGATATTCTTTGTCGCGACTGATAAATATCCTCTGTTTTTTGTATCTCACTGATATTTCCATTAAAATCCCAATTTCCGATCTTTAGATTCTCGAGCAGAACGTTAACACGCCGGACGAGAATGTAGTTGTATATTCACATCCTGTTGCTGAAGGACCTTCGTCCACGACAACGCGACTTATCGATAAGGATGATCCGCGATCCAGACTGCATTTTGTAAAATATCTAAAACGCGACGGAAAAACGCTCAAAATCTGGGAATGCGGCATTTGTATGTAAATTTTCTCTAACGTAATATTTTTTAAATGTAATTAATGTATAGAATAATGATATTTTTTTATATGAAGAGAGTAATATATATATTCCATTTTTTCAATTATTATTAATTAATAATTATAAAAAGAAAAGAATTATATATTCGGGATGAGACTGAAATAAAAGTGTCAAGTTTAATATATTTTTTTCGGGAGAAATATCATTTTGAATTTTCATTTGATTTTGCAGTATAGCGAGTAATTACTTTTTAATGTTGCCATCGGGGGTCAGCTTGTTTTCGTTATAAGAAACTTTTATGTTTAATATTCAAACCAGGTTCAAAAGAGTTCCGTCACCAGTACACCCTGATGAGACACTTGCCGACCCACACCGACGAGAGAAACTTTAAATGCGAGGCTTGCGGCAAGGCTTTCCGCCAGTTGTCAACATTGAGTCAGCACAAGGCTATACACAGCGATGCTAGACCCTACGTATGCGAATTCTGCAAGAAAACGTTTAATAGGTCGGAAATTATCATTTTTAGATTTGAATTTCATATTTAGATGCATAAAACCTTACACAGCATATAAAAGTAATAAATATTTAATATTTATAAAATCGAATTGTATCGGCTAGTTGACATTTTGAAGTAATTTGAATTTCAGGGTGTCTACGTTAATCTCTCATCGAAAAACGCATTCGGAACACAAGCCACACAAGTGTCACGTATGTGGTAAAGGATTTCATCAAAAGGGTATATAACACATATTAATAGGGCGATGATTTGTCATTTCCAGCAGATCTAAATTCCTTCTGAAAAAATTTATAATTCTGTAAAATCTACACTATTCTATTTTTTCCGCTAGATTTATTAATACGTATCTCATCATTCCATTATGTTTTATTGCGGAAATTGAAACGCGTTCATCTGTCAACTTGAAAAATCCGGCAATTAACATTAGTCTTTTCAGGCAATCTGCGTAATCACGTATTCACGCATACGAACGAGCGGCCATACAAATGCGAGCTCTGCGGCAAAGGCTTCAATCAGATGTCAAATTTGGTCTGTCATAAGGTGAAAGCGCACGCACACGCCGACAAGATGCAATATTCATGCGGAGTCTGCGGAAAGGAGTTTCCGCGTAGATTCGCCTTACGATCGCACGAGGAGTACAAGCACGGTATAAAGTATCGAAGCACGAGCAACGCGCAATCTGCCGTGAACGAACCCAGTACCGCAAAAAGGTATGTAAAGAGACCGCATGATTTTAGCCGCGATGTATAATGCGTAACCAATGGTGCAATAAATGTTCAAACAATCTGAAAAATCGTTGAAATTCGTCAGTTACTTTATATAAATATTTGCAGAACACGAGAGGAATAAGGAATAAGATTTCTTATTTAATTAAAAATATCAATTCCTATAGATTATCGTTGATATTTTCATATTGGATAAGAGAGAAAATCCTGCAAAAATAGACAAATTAAAAGGAATTAGTTATAATTTTATAGGATAAATTTTTCTATTGATTTTTCTTTTTATTAATTTATTTCTCACACAGGCTAGAGAGACAATCGAAGCGCTTATATATATCCGATTATTATTTTACACAATACAGAGTTTATTTAATTATAGATATTTCAACGCGCGATATGTAATTATGCATTTTCAGCAAGAACGTTAGGATCATACAATTGTTCAATGGCGATCGAAATCAAACGAGCGAAAGCAAAGAGAAGGATTATTTTGGCTCAGTTAGTATATATTTGATTTGATAAATATAATGAGAGTATTATGGATTGTATAATTAGTTTTGGAATCCTGTTTTATGATAGTCGGACTTAATAGACAGCATTGTGATAGACAAAATCGAAACAAAAGCGATGGAGATTGCATTACTCCAAGGCCAGACTCCCTTTGCTCTTTATAGACCCATTAAGGGTATACCGGTACTTGTTAAAGTTTTACCCACTGCAAGTAATAAGCACGTAAGTATGTACATTTATGGACATTATTATTCTGACATATATAATTAGCTTATCTTTTAATTGTCCTATAATTTTATCTATATTTTATATTCTTACCATTATTTTTAGCAAAAAATATATAGCTAAAATATGAAAATTAAGTAATTTAAAATCACAAGTAAAATATAAAATTTTTTTAATTAGATATAAATAAATTTAATAAATTTACATGTATAATCGTAAAATATAAAAATTTTGAAAAGTTATAATAACGTTAATTTAAAAGTTTTTATTACTCTCTCGTTAGAGTAGTTATTATTTTTATATACTAATACATTGATGAAAATCTCGACTTTTAGTTGACTTCGCAAGAGAAGTTTATTAAAAGTTATATATCCAATATTATACAGTAAGCAGAGAAATTCGATGTTTTACGGATGTATTTGTTTCGTTTATCTTGCTGTCAGTAATTCCGACAGCTTTTATAAACATGCTCGATTGCAACAGAATCTGAATCAATAATAATTTCAAAGCATATTAATTAATATTAATATTTAATAACATTTAATTATTTGAGAGAATTAGAGATATTGCTTAATAATTACGTATTGTTTATGTATAGATACTTACACCTGCGACTGCCGAAGATTTGCGAATGGCGGGGAAGATAACTTCAAATCCTACCGAGTCTTCAGACGCTGATGGCAACAAGGCTGTTCAGGTAAAAGTACCGGTAGTTGCCACAGTGATACAGAATATCGAAACTGATGGCAAATCCAGCTTCGTCATCGAGCCTCCCGGAGCAGAACAGGAGCAAGGTAAGCTCTTCTTGTCAATTCTATAAAACTAAATGTTTTCGTCGAAGCGTTTCTCTTTATCTTCGTATTGTTGCCAGATGATCTAGTGACAGCGTTAGACTCGCAATTCTCTCTCTCTGAGCTTCATCCCGACGAAGCGGTCCGTCAAAACAGTGCGAATTCAACTCCGTCAATGGACGAGTGTAACGAGTTGCTGGAGCTGGCTGCGCAAGGTGGAATACAATTCGTTCGCGCTACGGAGGACGGTCGTTACGAAGTAATATAGAAACGATTAGCGCATTTACGTATGAAACTATGTTAGTGCTTGCATAGCGTGTCTGATAATAGTCGCATTTGGTGAACAGGATGATTTTCCTTGTGAAGCTCGAAAAAAAATTCTTTTTCCTCCACAATCTATAATCTAATTATCTCTATGATGTATTTTTGCACAGCTTTTAAGAGTTATAAGATTATATATTTTGGTAAAAATGTATTTCAAATCCGACACTGGCTAGAATATAACTTGGTAAAACCGAGAAGACAATGATTGTTGATATTGCGGGAATTTAATGTAAGAAAACATAAATTCCATGATATAAAATGTCGTTCTTCGACATCTTTATCTCTGAAAAGGCGACATACTTTTCCACGCAAAACTGGCATTATAGTGTCGACGTCTTTTCGACCTACAGTATGTGCGACACATTCTGAGTATTCACGTCAGGCGCCTCCGTTCCTTTACATAGATTTCTCTATTTAGAGAACTGTGCAGTGCTGTCGCGCTTGCGAAACGTGTCGTATAACGTTTTTATAGAAATGGCTTTCGTGTTAGAAATTATTTTTGGCGCTTTTCTTCCAATTAGCTTCAAGAATTTGATTAAACTTAATATCTATTAATGAAATCCGAATATACTCCAAGAGTCATATATATATAAAGTGATAGTATTTTAATCAAGAAAGATACTTGTATATGATTTTAAGTAAAATGTATCTTTCTCTGAAGTTACTTTTGAGAATTTTTTATGAAGGATTTAATTTACTTAAAATCATGTATAAGTATCTTTCTTGATTAAAATACTATCACTTTATTTTCTAAAGTAATATTATTATTTTTTAGTAACTCTATAAAAGTTATTAAAATTTCAAAATGTGATAAAAACAAATCTGTGTGCGTATGTCTCATAGTTTATATTATTGTAATAAATTATTTCACGACGAAGCTTTAAGCAGTTCAATACTCCTATCGTTTGTGCGCGTTATGGCTGCAGGTTATGACGAGCAGCGAGGCCCGCGACTTAATGGCGCAGAATTCCCACGACGTAACGATTCTTGACAGCGAACAGGCGGATGCCATCAATCTTGTGAATATACGCAATAACGGTGACGTCATCATCGGCGACAACGATAATCAGATCATGGTGCTGGAATCCGGCCAGAAATCCAGCAGTATGTCAATGGACGGTATCGAGATTCTCGAGGACAAAGACATTAGGATTCTCGAGGGTAAAAGCCTCGACGATCGTTTCGCGGATGGTATAACATTCCTCTCTCAGACCAAAATCGATGATCTCCTGCTGGGTCCAAAATCGTTGGCTATTGACGGCGATAGCGCCCTGGTCGGGCACGACGATGGTAGGTGAATTCTTGACACACGTCTCAATTTATAAAAATTCTTTAGGATATATCTATCACGTATTTATATATCGCAAGATATAAATTAATACATATAAATTTTAGTAGCTATTTTTTTAAATAAATTATAAGCAATATATAAGATTGTTAATAATTTAAACAATTCGTAATTTAAAAATCCACTATTTTTAGAATTAATGTAAAAAAAATATATAACTTTATGTATAAATAACTCAAGTTACTATAATGTTAAAAGATTCGGTTTAAGAACAGTGATGTATGTTTAATTTTTGGCAATGATTGCCGATTTCAGCCATGGTCGTACCGTCGAGTCAGCAGGACCTAACGAGCATCTTGGGTCATTCTTCGAACCTATCTACTAGCTCTCAATCCTCATTATCGTCTCTATTAATGAAGAACCATCCGCCATTGTCGTTGTTGAACGAGACATTCCCATATCTGAAGAGCAGTCAAAGCTTCGCGGACGATCTAAATATTCTCGGCGTCTCCCCCGTGACAGATCATCATTTGGAGTACGACTCAAAGATGAGATTGCCCTCGGTCTTCGACGACGACTGTGATACCGGCTTAATATCATTCGGTCAATCGGACATAAAGATGCTCGACTCCGGAAATCAATGCATTAAGGTACAAGGTTGCCTAAAAATCATGCTTAAGCAATTGGTTGATAATAATTTTTGTCACGTGACGAATTTTATAGCCTTTCAGTGACAAGTTTTGTTTGCCGCCTCCCAAGATGTTCCCCGGTCTGAACGAAGTGAAGATCTTGGGGCCGAAGAATCATAGTCACGAATTGGTCGCCCCACATTATCAAGATAATAGACTTCTCGGTCCTTTTGAGCAATTCCTTAAGAACACTACCATGCAAACGAGTGGTTGCATATCTAATACTATCGATGCGTTCGAAGGGTGCAGAAAAGAAGTGAAGATACTCGGTAAAAAGCTCGGCACCGGCATTATTACTACGACCGAGGAAGGTGATATTGTCAAAGTTGTCGATGACAATTCTAAATTCGTAAGTATAATCACATGTATATAGTTGCATTTTAATTATATAGTTCAATTAATATTCTTAACTTTTCTCTTTTGTCTTTTCTTATTATTCAGCTATGAGATATAATATTGAATATATTTGTCGATTAAAATTTACAATCACAAGCAATTAATGGATAGTATTAATGGACAGTAAATTTCTTGAAAAATATTAAATAAGAGTTTAACGCGTCTTGGTACTTGGCGCAGGAAACGAGCAACAATGCAATGGATCTCTGTGACAACGCCTTACAGCAGTGTACGACCATGTCACCGAGACGATTGCACCGGCAGCCGTCGATGGAGAGCGACGTTGCGGATAGCTTCTTGCTCCAAGTAAAAACCTTTGAGAGTAATTACGGTAAAAGCGACGAAAAAGAAAACCTTTCTCCGAACCTGCGCAGGCCGGCAGCCCCTGCTCGGATTTTCTGAATTTCGGCAATCGCTTCGGTGGCAAGAACCTGTCGCCTGAAGGTCATCTCGATAGGAGTCAGAAAGATGATCGCGGGGATAGTTTCGCGCCCGAAGAAATGTTGGACCTGGATTGACGATGCGCGACGAAGGCCTCTGCAGAAATGGTCTTTTACTTCTGGGCTTACTTGTTCTTTGTCTGCGATTCTCTTCTGAAGGTGTTCGTGCGTTGCTTCGGATTCTCTTCGGTGCATACAAAGAGCACAGGTAATATGCGATAAAGATAATTAAATTACGCATCGAGAAGAAAGGTGCATATTGGTATTTTTATAATTTTTTGCTTACAAAAGATTGCACTGATTTAAATACCAAGTAGATTGTATTTATATTTATGTATCTCTATTTGCAAAATATTTTGCTGTTAAATAATAAGTAATACCATGTGGAAATTGGATTCGCTAAATTTTTGAAAATATGCAATCAATTTGCAACAGATTTTGGAGAGTGATTTCAGAAAAAAAAGGATAATATATACCTATCGCAATATATTGTGAATATATGTTTTTTGGAATGTGCTTGTAAATTTCGAAGTATTCAATTTCAAATATTTATTTGTCTTATTAATCCGAATTATGCCATATTGCACTATTTTCTCTATACGATTGTATAAAAATCCAATCGGAGTATTTTATATCCAGATTTGCATTATATCCAGATTTGTTGAAGAATAAAATATATAAATATGAATTTCTTTCTGGTTTAATCATTTTATTAAACAGCAATATATATGTTCGTTAGATAAGGAAGAAAAATCATCCCAGTATTACTGTTTTTAACAGATACGTGGGATAGAGATACGAAAGACTGCGGTATTCCGATACGAAGGTTATTTAGATTTATTCGCGAATTCTCGACTCGGCAATATTTTCTCCGCGTGCCAATACCAATAGGTGGAATGGTTAATACCGTCTGCCCTGGCATCCATCCTTGCTACTTGATAGTCAGCTCCCATTCGGAGAACCGCACTGTCTTATATAGTAACCTGTACAAGCAATCTGCCCTCACGATTCGCAAATTGTGGAATTTAGAAATAATGTGAAATACGGATCATAATTTTTTGATATTCTTCTTGAACTCTTGTGGCTTAAAAAATATATTTATATATTTATATCGTATATAATTTTAATCTTTTACTGTGATATCTAAAAATGTGCTGGAATATTTTTTTTTAATCTAATTAATTTTTTTTTCTCTTTTTATGTTATACCTTGTATCGCTATATTTCGGTAAGTATTCAAATCCAAAGACAGTGATATCGATATTGGTAAGTCATGGTACATCTATCGAGTGATATCTTATAGTCTGACTTAGCATTTATCTTCACTACTTGGTAGTCAGCCTGTAGAAGCCTCTCTACATTTAGATAACGTGCGGGAAAGACTTGTAATATATATTCTGGAAAGCACAAGATCCAAATAAACCTAATAAATTATAACAGAAAAGAGCAACGCTTGCCTTATTGATAAAGTAACGTAGAAATTTCCGATACAGAATACTCGGCGCTTTTTCTTTTTCAAGCGAATTCTTTGATTATTTTTTAAAATCATTTTTGCCTCGAAGATTTTATGGAATATTACTATCAATCGCGTTTTCAATTTCTTAGATATCTTTGTTAAACATATAACAAAAATTTAATATAATAACTGTTTAACTCGAGTTTCATTTTGATTTATAATAAAAATGAGAGAAAAATATTGGGACGAGTAATAAATTAATAAAATTCTCCGACTTAAATCCGGCAGCGGTAAGCTGTAGCTTACGAACCCAACGCATGTGCGCGAGCAAACGTGTCGGAAAATTTACTTTTCTTCCGCAAAGCCAGCAGCAGCCCGTCGTCGTCGTCTTCGCAGCTGGCAAATACGCAAAAATTAAGTTGTAAAAGTCGCTTCGAATCGCTCGCGTTTTCCAGCCACGTCTGCCGCGAGGACGAGCGAATCCCACGGAAATTCCATTCGTTCTTTCTCCCTGCCGTGCCCTGTCCTCCCTCCTCTTCTCTCTGCTTCTCGGGGGGCCCCTCGGGGGAAATTCGCGCCTTTTCTCGGCTGCTTTGCATCGAATTATTTAAAAATGCACCCGACGTCCCGAGAAACATCTACTTAACTCGAAGGCGTCGAGACGTTCTTAGCGCGCCGGAAGTACCGTGAGAACAATGGCGTTAACGACGACTCGTAGGTCTACGGCATTTACAAAAGACGAAGAATTCGAAATCCTGAAAAGCCAGCTAGGATGTTTAGAACTGCTCTTAACCTTAACCGATGTTTCCTATGATGCTGAGAAATTTTCGTCGTCGGATCGGCATAACTTTGTAGCTCTTATTAAGGATTCCTCATTTAATTTTCTTCAGTGTGTCTATTTCTGGAAAAATGTGGAAAATCTGGAATTCTCAGGGATTGTTTTTATACCTGGAAAAATTAATATATATTTTGTAATCTTTAGTGATGAAAAAATGAAAATGTTATGCAAGTGAATAATGTTTATCTTACGCTATCTAAAGCTATTCAGTTTTTTTCAATATATTTGCAAATCCAGCATTTGAAACTTAAGAGGCTCTGTGGTTTTTCTTCGTATAATTGAAAAAAAAAAATTAGAAAACATATACAATTAAAAAATTTATTTTAGAAAGTTGTATAAAAAAATCTTGAAAATATTCTGTTTACTTGGAGTTTTGAACAAAAATATTTGGAAAATCAGGGATCTTTTTTTACAAGATTTGAATAGACATTCTGTTCTCTTTTGATAAAATTTTATTATCCAAAAAAAGTATAAGAATTAATCAGGTGTTAGTGTATTTTCGATAAATTCATTCACGAATATTTATCGAGTAAGAAAGATCAGCGAAAGCAATTGAATTTGGCTCGGCGAGAGCTAATCGCATTTTCATAAAGAGCCGAATGATGAGAACGACCGGGAATGAGCATTTTATTTGCTTTACAACGTAATTGCGGCAGAAAGTATTCCTG